AGGAGGGGGGTTCCCCGTGCAGCGCTGTGACTGCCGTCACCGATCAGTGGGACCAGTCACCTCTGACTCAGGCGGGCTCTGTAAGCCACCCCTCCCTACCACGGGGCCAGCACTGCACCGGCGACACAATGCACAGATCACTCTGTCACGAGGCGGACGGCAGGCCGGCCTTTCTGAGGACGAGGTCTGCGGCAGAGACCTTCATGGTCCCAAGCACTGGAGAGATTCGTCTCCTGAACACGCCAGCCCCACCCTGTGCGACTCAGGGCAAAACAGACTGCAGAGTCAGTGTGAGAAAGGCCGACAGGCTGGGTTTTTTTTTTCATGACAACGCTGATGACTTATCTCGAAATGGCAGATTTTTCTGAGCTCTGCTGTGCTCATGAGATGGTTATTTCCCCGTCGGAGGTTCCGACGCTGCTGAACTGCTGAGCTGGGGCAAGTCTGCGGCTTCGGTGCTGGTGTGAGGGGCCCGCGTTTCATGCCGTGACGAAACCGAGGTCTGCGGGACTCAAACTTGTTTTCCGGCTGCTGCCCCTTGCGACGTCGCCCGCGGCGCCACGGCCCCGGGTCGGGGGTCTCGCCGCCAGGCGCAGAGTCTTCCCCTCTGCTACCTAAGAATGACAATGAGCCGGGCCAGGGGACGCACCGTGAAGCCGCGCGTGGGCGCCAGGGCGCCGGGCCCGTGCACGCTTCTCCAACGCCGCCTGAGCCTACGGACGAATATTCTCACTTTTGAAACGGAACGTACAGAAAACCCTTTGAAAGGGTCGCCCCGCTCGGAGGGCGAGAACCACGTGCCCCCACGCCGGGCATGGACGCTGTTTCTTCTGGCGTGTAAGGCTTAGGAAGGCCATTTTGTTGCTGCTTTATTAAGATATTTTTTAATCTTTTAATTTTTTAGCGCCTACAGCACCTGGTCTTCCCAGGTGGTCGGTCTCCCATCCAAGTACTAACCAGGCCCGACCCTGCTTAGCTTCCGAGACCGGATGTGATCTCACACCATCGGGATGGCAGGGCCACAGACAGATCTTTTTCTTTTAATTGCTCTGGTCTCAGTGAGTAGAATCAGCCAAATCAAAGTGAAACTCACAGAATGACAGTCAGGAAGCGACGGCGTGGCCACTAAGTCGTCGGTGAGGTTGTGAGCCATTTGGTTTCAACGTACAGAATGCTAATTCTGGCACAATTATTAATTCACCGAAATAGTGAATCCGTATGGACAAAATCAGCATGAGACGGGCACGAACATTCCTACATCACTATGCAGACTGAGTAACAGGCACAGAAAGTCACAGGCTTAACGCTGCCTTAGGTCCCTATTCAACGTCTAATGTTACTAAAAGCTGCCTCTCATGGATACTAGAATTTTAAAATTTAAACATAGGTTAAGGGATAGGAAAACCATACAATGAGTTTGCCTAAGTTCACATAATATTAAGAAAAAAACACATTTCATTCCAGAAACAGGAATCGTTTGGTGCCATGCTTTTATTCAAATGAGAGGGGACTACACTGTACCAGGAAATGGCAAATCTGACAGTATTTTACAGCACAGCATCTTAAAAAACCTGTAAGCAATGCTCGAAACTGGACAGTAAGCACACCATACACCGTATGCTGCCCGACAGTGTCCGTGAAACCGCCATTAGAAAGCTGAATTTGGCTTTAAACAGCCAAGTGAAAATTGAACCAGTTATTCCAGACAAACTTGAAGGGCTTTCCAAAGCTGCGTCAAAGGGCAGAACCTGACGGCTGCACTGGTAACCATGACAAGCGTTTGGCAAACTTAACTGAATAATGATCAAAATCATTTGACCTCCAATGATGAAAGCACCAGTGTTTCAATAAGACGGATGAAAATCTCCAGGCTTGATGAAATGGCATAATTTTCATTTGTACAATTTTAAAAACATAATTTAAAAAAAAAAGCTGCACCATCATTAAAACATCCGCAGACTTAAAGAAACCTCTCCATGTTCCTCCTGCATCAATAAAGTGAACGTTGCACTGGGAGCAACGGGCTTTCGTGGCAACATCCACATTCTGCCTTCAGACGCCACGGACGTTCACCGCTAGACACGCGTGGACGAGTGAGGTCCTGTTTGGTCGTAAGGACCTCTTCCACTGTCCCGCGTCCAAGTTTTAAAAATTTAATGGCCAACTAATATCATGAAGAAGACTGCTTGCAGAGGGAAATGGATGGAAAAGAACAAATTTAGTAACGTAAAATGCTGGCCGATTCTCCTTTTGACTATTACTCCTTTTTGATTAGATTCATTTGCTATTTTTAAACCGGTCTTCATCTCAACATTAAGTGACAATTACTTCCTTCTAACAGTGACGGAAACCGGTGTCTGAAAGGTAAAATGTGCAATGCCTCATTTTTAATATTCATATATTATACACAATATGTATACACTTAAAATATCAGAGTTACATATCCTGGTCTCTTACATGCAAACAGTAGGTCACGAAGAGTTTTGAGCTACACATAGATCTTGCACGGGTATTGGAAAAAAATCTTTGAAATTTTTTTTACAGTTTTAACAAATATACATAAATATAAGAACATAAATTACAGTAAAATATTGACAGCATTTGATAAAGTGTCGGTAACTCAGATGCACTGATACCTAGTGGCCGCATAATACTAGAAAAGTATGGTGCAGGAACGGCTCACGCCTGTTGCTTTTAAAATAAGTCAATACATCATATAAGATATTAGTTATTTCTCTAAACGACTCAATTAGAGAAATGCGTATATTTCAGTCTCTACTTCCCACGAAAGAAAACAAACCCCGTGTGTCACTTGCGAAACGATACCGCCGCCCCCCCGACTCACTCCGTCGACACCACGCGGAAACGGGACAGGGCCACGTAATCGTTCACGTCTTTTCCTGAGAGGGACGTTTTTCCCCAACTAACCCTCCGGCACACACTGTCAAAGGGACAAAGGTCAAGTAGAGAAGATTTCAAGTGTCTACTTAATCTAAGCCGTTCCACTCGAAAAGGACAAAAAGGAAGAAAAACTTATTAAGTAAAATAATGTGAAGCTATTTTAAAATTAAAATGGAGCCCTTTTGTACAGTTTAAAGTTTCTAAATATAGTTTTTATATTAGTTATAAATATAACGTAAAGACTTCTCGAGACTTTGCAGCAGGAAATCTTAACCTCTTCAGGCTGAAAGACGATCCTCAAAGTGTCATTCACTTCTGCCAGCTTATAAAGTGACTCGCTGAAGAGAGAGAGAAAGCCTTTTCTGGTAAAGGAACAATCTAAGCTATTCTGAGCCGGCCAGAAGCGGTGTGACGACACTGATTTAATCAGCAACTTCTTATACTCGTGGTTAAGCTCATGTGGTTTAAAGTGACCTTACTAGCAGCTCTTCACGACGCCTCTTACCGAACAGAGAATGTTAATACTTGAGTGAATAATAAATATAGAGTTGTAAATACTTAGCGGAATAATTCTTTCAAATGCTCTCACGCCATGACAACGTGAGGGTTACTGTGCCACTGAACACTAGTGTTTCTCTCAGCATTAGGAGAGGTGCATGTCGCCTGTGGAGGAAACTTCTATGCTCCTCATCTCCACATGAAACAAAATGTCAAGTTATCTTAAAAGCAACCCTCGAGGAGACAAAGTCAAAATAAACCATCTGAAGACAAGCACATACATTAAAAGTTAAAAAAAACAAAGCAACGAATAAAACGCCTAACTGGTTATCTTACCATGTTCCCACCACGCGTCCAAGTAGTGTCTGAGAATTCAGTGCTCCAGCGTGCCTGGTATCAAGCAGTGACCCCCGATGACACGTCTCCATTCGTGGATCCAGCGGGTCGTCCTCACCGGGACCGCCCGCCCGCCTGCGAACCCCCGGCACGCCGGCGGCCTGCGGCTTGCGTCCCGCGCTCCATGGTAACGGGGCTCAATGTCACTTTCGGGGGACAGAAGTCTTGCTGGCAACGGAGAGACTTCTGCAGGCCGGAGGGACGGAGAGCAAAGCCACCGGCAGCGTTCTGCGGCCCACGCTCCCGGCCCTACGCTTTCGTGGGTAACAGTTTCTTGGGCGTCACTGGTCTCTTGCTCTGCCACAGATGGCTGTGAATGGTGATCGCGTCCACGCTGGCGGATAACGTTTTAGCGGGTATGTGGCTAAACTGCTTCCTGTCGGAATTGTATTTGTAAAGTCCCTCGATCATTTTCTTAGTGATGGATTTGGGGCCTATCCCAGTCAGCTTACTGATTTCTTCGGTTTCTGGACAGTAAGTGTACAAAGACCGAAACTGACAGCCTGAATCCCGAAACAGGATTAAGAAGTTGTTGGCATCTGACTTCTCCATTTCCTGTGGAATGAAAAACAAAAACCAAACCAAACCAAACCACGGTAAACACCCTGAAACATGTCACAGAAAAACTGTGTCACGTTTCCTGGTCAAATCTGATGACGTTTAATTTAAAATGTAAATTCCCAATAGCCGAAATAAGGTGCCATGTTATAAAGGCAAAGCTCACTTTAATTAAAAATGTACACGACACCTCGTGCTGAGGTAGCCGCTACAGCCCGGTCTCAGCCAAACTGTCCCTGTCGCTGCCGACCGGGCACTGGCTGACTCCCCTCCCCGGCCCGGCCTCCCTTTAACTACGGGGAATCACGTTACCTGCGTCCATGAAACATGAACGAGCGAATCTGCGCAAGGAGCTGACTTATAATTTTTCATTCTCACCTGAGTCCAGAAGCCCACTTGGAAGCGAACTCAATCTAACCCATCTAAAGCCAGTGCCGGACGGGTCCCGGGCCGCTGGGACGCCGAGTCCCCCGCCGGGAGACGGGGCCCCCGCGCACACTCACCTCCAGGATCTTTCTCTTCTGGCCTTCGTTCACTTTTCCGGCCAAACAGCAATGGGCCAAAGCGTTCTGTATTATGTGCTTATTGGACTTTGCGCTGGGTTCTTTGTAGAGCTTTGGTCCTGTGACGATAATAAAAATAACACCGCTGAGTCAGAAGGACGAAGGACGCCACTGTCCCCACTCTGATGGGACCCCGTGCTCGAAGGCCCGGGCTGGCTCAGCCACAGCCAGAACCTGGTCCTGTCCCCACGGGCCCCTCGCAGGGTGTCCCTGGCCCCCCGAGGCTGCCATGCGGAGCAGCGCTGGACTCAGGCACTGCTGTAACCGTCACCCTGCGTCCCCTTCCGTGTGGACTCTAAGGCTGCTGGTGAGCGTAAAGCGCGATGGGTCCGTCCCGTGCGCGCTCCCCTGCGCCCTTCCCGTCACCGCCCCAAGCCCATCGCGCTCCTTCCCGCTTCCTGCCCACTCGCTCCGCAGAGCTGGTCTCCCTTTCTGGTCTCATTCCGCCTTTGTTTCAGGGATGACCACCCAGCCGGGGTGAGGGCAGGACCTGCCGGGGACAGCGAGGCTGGACGCCCTCCCGGGGTCGCTGCCTCTCAGTGCTCTCTAGAGACCGGGGTTCCAGGCACCGGAGTCCCCACGGTGGAGGGACTTCGTGGGTTCCGGCCTCGGCGCAGGGCTCAGGAACTGCGGGCTGGAACCGCTCCGGACCTGACCGTGAACGGCGACGCGGGCACGGCCAGCGGGGTTAAGTGAGAAGCAGGGACGATGTGTCGTTGTGTTAGAAACTTGTCCCCGTTCACTGGGGTCACCCCTGGGCTGGAACCGCTCCGGACCTGACTGTGAACGGCGACGCGGGCACGGCCAGCGGTGTTAAGTGAGAAGCGGGGACGACGTGTCGTTGTTAGAAACTTGTCCCCGTTCACTGGGGTCACCCCCCTCAGTGGCCCTGGTCACTGACACGGACCGACCTGGCGGCGTTTCCGACCGGCCTCCCTGGTGTGGACCACGGCGCCAGTGCAGCCTCCCGCGGGAGGGCCTGTCTCCGGCCTCGCCCCGGTCAGAGCGTCCCCCGAACACCGCGCAGACGCGCACCTGTGTACTCGGTCCCGGAAGCCACCGAAGAAGTGGTGGACGCGTTCTCCCAGTCCTTCTCTCCGTTCCGACTGCCACAACGACTTGGCGACAGGAAGCCCTCCACGGACTCCGACCTAAATCGCAGATACAATTTTTTGATGCCTCCCACAGAGAAAGGACACTCGGGGGCCAGAGGGTACGTGCGACAGCACCAACCAAAATCAGGCCAGAGGCTTGAAAACAAAAGACGGTGCCCACACTGTCTTGGTCAGGGCGGTGCCTCCGAGCGCCCGGGAGGCAGCAGACGCTCCAGAAGCACAGGCGTGAACCGGCGCCAAGCACCGAGGGACGGTAATTCGAGATCAGAACTCGGATGACGACCGTCACCGGAGACGCCCTTCGTCATGCGGGCGTTACAGCAAAAGGTAACGAAATGCTGACTTTTAGTTTCTAATCTGCGTTCTAGAAGCAGAGAGTGCAGAAGAGAGCGTTCCCAGGTCACAGACGACCGACTTTGGAATTGATCTAACGGGGAAAAAGGCTTTAAATTTGGTGGGAAATAAACCAGAGAGGCTGGCGCCACGCAGATGACGTACTTTCTATTTCTACAGACTATGATTTCATTACGACCATATTAGCCAATTACTGTTAACATTTCATAGTTAATGAAAAGTATCTCATCAAGGTCAGTGATTCTAAAATTCTAAAAGATAAACAGCGAAGATCAGTAGATCTTTTTATATATACACACACACACGTGTATCACATAGAAACCAGACTGTTCGAATCAGCAACACGTATAAAACGCTGAGGTCAGGATCGATGCTGAGGTCAGGATCGATGCACTGCAGTGCACGGGCAGGGGCAGGGGCAGGGGACGTGGTGGGCGCACCTGGGTGTCCTCTTGCCCGAACGCACACTCTCGTTATCTCCCGTGTCCAGCGACGCCAGAGAAAGGCTGGAGGCTGCAAAACACGGAAAACTGGTGAAAAGAAAACCGAAAACTTAAAAGGGGCAACTGAAGAGTCTGCTCGCTAGATAACGCCGGCGCACGGAAACCGAGCAGCTTTCCGTGCTTTCTTTACTGTCGGTCTAAACATATAACATGCACGAAGACAGGCGCGATTTACTTACAATTAGCTATGAACCTACTTAAGAAATAGCGATAAAATTAACTGCTGTCAGGATTTATCCCAAAAGGAAAGTGGTACTATGAGACACGATATCGTGATTATAAGAAAATTAACGTAACTAAAAGAAAATTAAGAAAAGGAATAAAATATTTTTAGGAATATCTCATTCCTAGGTGAAAAATTAACTTATTAATTTTAGTCAACACCGAGTATCAAAAAATTTCATTGGCTAGAAAAGGCAGAGAGATGTTATTCTTCCTTAGTTTTAGAATAACTGCATGGGAATGCTCTGAGACTTCCCGGTGCTCCGTTACTTTGTACTCGTGTTGACGGTGGGCGTGTGGCCCCCACGTCTGCTCTGCCGAATGCCAGCGCGACAGGCAACACATGCACGTCACGACGGTCATGACGGCCGTCACAGGGCGAGGCGGCCTGCTCCGCCGTCCAGACGCGGGGCGCGGGGGACCTCGCGGGCGTGTCCCACGAGCACGCCGAGGCACAGCCACGCAGTGGCTGTTCCCGTGCACAGACCGCTCCCGAGCGCGGGGCTACCTGGGGGACCTCTGACTGGAGTTTTGGGGGACTCGACGTGGTCTCTGTGAATGGACTTGGGGCGCTGCTTCTTCTGCTTCGCTGCCTGAGGACGGGGCTTGAGCACGGTGTCCATGTCCTCCATCAGCTTCAGCTGCTTGCGCCTCATGTGCTCCTGCCTGATGAACTCCCTGCGAGCCCGCTCGTCCTCCTTCCTCTGCCGCTCCTCCTCGGTTTTCCGCCTGAGAAGCCCGGCAGCTGCATGCCTCACCCTGCGCGCCCGCGCCCCCCACACCCGCGCCCCCAACACCCG